ATATATATATATATATATATATATATATATATATTACATTTTAATGATATAATTAAATAAATAAATTTGTAATAAATAAAATCAAATTATTAATATTTTTGACATTTTTAATACACTTAAATGTTTTATATTATTTGTTTGTACGAAATCAAGAATCAAAAGTAGGAATTATAGCAACCGCATTTTCGCCTACTCTTTTCTTTCATCTCCATGGTTGACTAGTTATTTATAATATTCAAAATGGAATATAAGGAATTTAGAGAGTTATTTTTCTTATAAGATCATCATAGCATGTGCATGAATGTACATAAACATATATAAGTATGCATGAGTTGTTCTTCTTACATTATTTTTTTCATTTACTTTAAACACTAAATTTTAATAATAATATAGTAAACTATATTTTTTTATCATACAAATTAAAAAAAAAAACTCTCACATATATTTAAAAATAGATTTGTTGACTTACTTAAAAATTAAATTTATCGGTCTGTTTAACATTGTTAATATAAAATAAGTATTTAAATAAGTAAATAAGTTAAATTAGACCTATAAAAAAATCTATAATAAATAAGATGATAGGTTTGAAATTTAATTTTTATAAAACATGTTTATCTTATATATTCAAATATCTCTTAATCATATTTAGTTCATATTAAAAATATATTTTACATTTAAATATATAAAAATAAATCTAAAATTCACATTTATTAATCATTCTATTTTTTTCTATAATCATTTTAGTAGGAAAGAAGAATGAAGTAAAGTCGTCAATAATAAAGAAATAAAATTTATTGTTATAGATGTTAAAAAAGGCAAAACTTTTTACATATATTCATTAAAAATAATTGATATTTTAAGATAAAAAAATTAATACCTTCATGTCATTAAATTTATAATATTATAAAAAGTTATATACAAATTAATAATATTTTATAAATATTCCATTTTCATACATATATAATTGTATTTTTAAAATATTGTCATGCAACTATTAAAATCAATGTTATAAAAAAAATGAAAAAAATATATCTTATAAAATAAAATAAAAATGAAATGTTATAAGCATAATATCATAAAACTAAGTGATGAAGAAAAATTATTATTAAAATTAAGTGGTCAGTGTCTTTTATAAAACTAATAGTTAGTCTAGAATGGGTGTAATCCTATTCACACTCAGCTCTACTTTTTTGACTAGGGAAATATAAAATGAATTTTATAAATGAGTTAAGATTTCAAAAATTCTACTAGGATGTGACACATTTGTTGTGTTACGAACTGCATCAATGATGCTCCACTCCATTACGAGTTACTTTCATGCTCAGTCGGCAATTCTTTCATCCCAATCCCAACTGAGAAGCCATTTGAATATTCTTCCCTTTGCTTTGTATGAAAAGGATGTTCGTTTATTTAACCTTTATTTGTCACATCTCCACCAAAGAAAACCAACCCAACTTTGCCAATGCACCCATGGACCTCACTTATCCGCCAACGTTTCAACTTTTTAATTTGCCAAAAATAAAAACAGCGAGATGTACGGACGACACACTCAATCACAATATAGAATGTGATCTTACCCTAGCATGCCCATTGGCTCCCCCAATAAGTCAAAACTTACATGTATTAAGGATAGCTATAAAAGGTTCCATACAAAATCATTAATGACCCTCAAAGTTGAATTAACAACGAATCATTCCTTTTCTTTTAAGTCTCCACAAGACAAGACTAACGGTTATGGAATCTGATAGGGACAGTTAATTACTGAACAATCTGCTTCTATGAAAAAATGTTATGTGGAGCAAGATCCATTTATTCATTATATATTTTATGACAACTCAATAAAAAAAATGGAGAAGGTTAAATTAATATTAGAGCAAGTGCATGAATATAAGGATAATAAAAAAAAATACTGTGGTATTTTCAAATGCTATTAATAATATTCCAATATCCATGAATAAGCAGTTTTATCAGCAAGAACGATTTGTATGATCTGTGAAAACACTGAAATCTTCTTAAATTTTTTACTTAAAGAACAATGGAGAAAAATGAGCAGAAACCTTGGACACAATTCTCAGTGGCAATGGTTGATTGTGAGGAGAGAACTATGGAGCAATTTCAAGTCTAGGCTCAAAGCAAAAGCCAGTAAAAAGCTGCAGCGGGAATCTTTTTGTCACGGGGCACTTCTGTGACCATTTCCAATGCTTGTTGCTCATGTCAAATATGAGAAGCGCTGGAGCTCCATAACTCTGAATATATATCAGATCATCTGCACCACTGCTAGCAAAAACATCATCAAACTCTCCAAAGCCTTGGAAGAATTTGTGGGGCATTCGAGCAATCTCTTCCCACTTCTTATCATTCAGAAGCCAGATACCAATTCCTTTTATTATGTCAGGTCGATCTGGTTTGCCAATTCCTCCCACCATTACAAGCTTCTCCTTCAGATTCATCAGACGGCCACATGTTAGAGAACATGGTACTGGAATAAAACTCCTTGTTAAGGTACCTTGAGAAGAACGATTGGACATGTTATATGCAATCAGGGCATGACGGTTTTCCGGTTGGCCACCACCAGTTGAATAAACTAAAAAGTATAGCATCCCATTGCATATCACACTTTCGTCACCACCTCTCCACCCCATCAAAACCTCTGTTATAGAAGTCACCCACGTTGCATTTTCTGAGTTGTACACATGAATTGAGATATCCCACTGGAAAAAGTTCTCAGGGACTTGTTTAGATTTTACAATTGCCACAGTATAACCGCGAGACTCCCTATTCACCGAGATTGATAATGCACTGTAATCAGAAATTTTCAAACCTGGAGGCTCCTCTAGCTTCTTGTAGGTTTTGGTAATTGGGTTGCAGATGCATAAGTCACTCCTGTTGTCATTGTCCATGAAGCATACCATGCCATATGATGAAGTGATGAACCAATTAGAAGTTCCAATGCATGGAAGTTCAATGCTATACCATTTCCGAAGGACGGGATCAAAAGCATAACCAATTGGTTCATCAGAACTTGTAAACATAAAGTACCAAGGTTTCTGTGGTAGAACATGTGAAAGGTTCCACAAAAACCTCTCTGAATTAACAATTTCATGCCATCTTTTAGACACACAGCCCGCTCTAAAAATGCTTGCAATGGGGAGATAGGCTAGGATTCGTTCCAGCAAGTCATCAGGTAAAATTACATCCATAGAAACAGCAGTTGCTTCTTTTTCACCTTCCTCGCCAAGTTCTAAAATTGAATCAAATGCCCCAGTCTCCCTTTGTCTGTCATCATAGTGGCTGATCCAAGATGATTCTCCAGCCATAGGAGTTGGAAGGAAAGACCTAGTGGATATAGTAAAGCACAAAATGAAAAAAGAGCTGATAATTAAATATTTCTAACGTCAAATAATAAAAAAAATCCCAAGGATTTTGTCACCAAAGGATATACTAGATCATGGAAATATGCTACCTTACTTTCAAATCAGACAAGGTGAAGCACTTTTAAACAAAATGAGGACATTTCAGATCATCCAATCAATAATACCACAGTAAGAGAACATAAAGAAGCAAGGTAGTTAAAACATCAAGATTTTAAATTAAATTGAGGAAGTAAAATTTTCAAATCACTAAATCATTCATCAAATCATAGGATTTCACAAAAACAGAATACATAATACGTATTCATAATCCATATTTCATAAATGTCATGCATAGTATTCATAAGTTATAGCACATAAAGTAGTAAAAAAAAATTAACTATTCCAAAACACAGGTAGACAACACATTGCAAGGCATAAAACTTAAGCAAGAAAGGCAAATAATAATACTCTAATTCTAGAATCTAGGTGTCTAATCTAACAAACATGCCACGACCACATCATACTCATAAGGATCCACCATTTGATCCTCATCTTCGACTACATCTCCACTTCAAAACTGTGAACAAGTTGATAGTATTAAAGGTTTGAGTAGTGGAAGAAATAAGAAGAGGGTGGGTTTGAAAGAGAAAAAGAACAAAAGTCAAAAGGTGAAGGAAAAAAAAATGCCTGTACAGCATACAGAGGTTCAAACAGATGAAGAAGGAAAAGGAACAGCAATGGCCCAAAGGCTCAAACAAAGGGAAGAAAGGAGGGAAAACGAAGGAGAACAAAACAGAGAATGGACGCACAGCAATCAGGATTTACCAAATTAAACAAGAGCATGGTACCACAATGTCGGGGTGAGTCACTAGAGAAAACTAAAAGGCAAACGAATCAGGTCAAACATCCAAATGAGTCACCAGGGAAATCGAAAAATTTAAGGATTTTAGCAATTTTGGGATTTAAATTGCAATTTTAGAAGGATTCTAACTACTATTTAATCGTTGGAAGGGACCAAAAATAGTGGGATTTTACAATTTGAATCCATATTTCAACTGTCATATAAAGAAAATAAAATAAAAACTTACCTTTGCAGGGCAATAATCAAAGATCATGGAATAGAATACAACAAGGGAAGAAGAATATGGCAACAAGAGAATTCATTCCCTTTTAAGAAAGCAATTACAACCAAGGAGAGTAGTGATTGAAGGAACACATGGCCATTAACTATCCTCCTTATCTGTAATTTAGAAATCCACATGGTTGAGGAAAGATGTACATCACATCACTTACTAAAGTAGAAAATATGGTCTTTTCCTACATGCTACTAGGTAAGACCTTAAAATGATTTGGTATTGAGCAACCAATAATGCTGATAAAATTCAAAGCATGATGCCCATATCCCTCGTAAGAAAAAATCATTAGAATCATTCAAAATATTAAAACACTATTCAGTAGTTGCAACAAACATAGAAGCTAATTACACATTGCCGGGTAAAGCAAAAACAAAAAACTGGATGGAAAAATTAATTGAAAAAATATATATATCCAGCAGACTACATGAAATGAAAGAATTCATAGAAGACAACTTCCAGAAAATCCGATTCAGATATGATATTATTTTCAGCTCACAACAATAATAAATTACAGTGTAAGCACTCTCAAAATCTCCATGCTTCCAGGTTAGCTCAAATATATCCATTCAAAGAAGTCATATATGAAAATCATGCGTGACAAACACAAGGGGGAAATTCTATTAAACAGACGAATAACAAAATTCCAACCAATGCAATGAATCCTTAAAAAAGTAACGTCTCAGAAACATAACAAGCATTGCAAGTTGCTGATTCCTCAAAAGCATTTATCAGAAAGAGAAAATAATTCAAAAGACTAAAGCCGACATTTTTTAACACCAACTCTCCCGAGAACAACATTTTAACACATATTCTGCACACAAAAACAACATTCGATACAAACCAACATTCCATGACCACCAAGCCCTAAGAAGGGGGGTTAGCATGACTGAAACTGAAAAGAAAAATAAAAGACAAAAAAGACAAAAAAAGGGAGAGGGAAATCAAACGGTGAAATACCCATGAAACATCCTCGATCCTGGGAGAACCATTCGATAGGAGCAATCCAGCAATCCCGAGGTGATATCAAATAGTTAAAACACAAACAGATCAACGAAGACAGAGATGCATCAACAAAAGATTGCAGCAATCAGCTTCTTTTCTCGTTTTAGTGTAAGGAAGAGCGAAAAAGAAAACATTTTGAGAATGAATAGATGAAACCCATGACGGACACGGAAATACCTTGTGTTGAAAGAGCGGAGCAGTGTGAGAGAAGACAAAAAAAAATGTTGAATCTTGGCAAAATTGGAGCGATTAAAGGGGAAAAGGAAATGGGGGTGTGAGTTTTCCTTGAAATGGGAGAACACAGAAATGGGTTGCTCTAGATTTGGTTGATAAACAAGGCCAAGCAACCCAACAACACATTGAACACAACACAACACTAGAGAGAGAGAAAGAGAGAAGCGTTTAATTTATGTTTGTGTTCTTTTTCGTTTCTTTTTTGATACGACAAAAACGACAGGCAGGTAAATGAAGTGAGGAGGCGGTTTCTCTATACTCTATAGAAAATAGGAATAGGAATGGTTCTCGCTTTTCTGTTTCAAGAGAGAGAGTAAGAGAAGCGCGTGTTAGCGCGTGTCTCCTCTTTTTAATGCTTCCATCACACAATGCTCGGAAGAGTTGAGGTGTTTGTTATTTAGATTTCGGTCATCATCAATTATCAATTAATACACTACATATGTATTTATTTTTTTACACTGCCAGTGAGGTTACAACAACTAGTAACTTAATTGGTGTCAGCAAAAATTTAATACAGTACATGGTAAAAAAGAGTGAAAAATACTAAGACATCGAAAGATAAATTATAACATTAAACTTAAAATTCTAAAAAAGTTTTTAAAAAATCATCTTTTTTTTGTGCTTAAATGTTAAGTTAAGAAGTTCAAAGTTAAAAATAAATATAACGGAACTTCTGAATTTATATCCACGAAGTTTAATTAGTGATCTCGAGTTCAAATGTTAATTATTTAGTATTTTTTTTAATTGTCTTTAGTTTAAGATGATCATACTTGTATTGCCTAGTGATTAAGTCAAGTTGACCTTCTCTTGCTCATCTGCACTAGGTCTCCGACCGATCATCAATAAAAGAAATTTTAAGCGGTTAACTCATAATGACTAACACATATTCACCTGACAAAATATTTTCACTCCTCATAACAATATCACCATGCAATCATCATAATATATCTCCGATATATTATTCGAGATTATCTAAAACCTAAATATAAGGTCAATCACCTATATATAGGACATCAGTATCACTCAACCATAATCTCACTCTTAACCTAAACTCCTTTATCACTTAGATGGCGGGATGTCTTTGTTGCTGTCCCCACCACTGCAAACATTGAAGCAACAAAAACTTCATCCCATCATCATAATCCTTACAAATTTTGATAAGAACATTTGGCACTCATTATGGAGCCAAAGTGAAACCATCATCCAGTCACACATGATTTTCACTCGAAACCAAACAATAAATAACAACATAACATGAACCTTTATGGCAATCAATGACCTCGACTTAATCCCCATAGAACAACCTCTGACTACCATGACTCCACCTATTGTGTTGTGCAACGCTAAATCATCACCGTGCAAACGAAAAGAGAAGGATAGTCGACGTTGACATTACTCCTAAAACTCCCTTTAGGAAGCACCCTTGTAGATTATGGTAACTCAACTGACATTTTATGTTGGAATACTTTCCTCCAAATGCAACTATCTAAAGACGGTATCAAGCCACACAATGAACTCCTATTGGGATTTACAGGTTGAGTAGTCGACACAAGAGGCTATGTGGAACTCTTTACCAATTTCAAGAGCGACAAACATGCCAAATTGTTAAACATCAATTATTTGTTGGTAGACGCAACCACCTCATACAACGTCATAATTGGCTGATCCACCCTCGATGTTTTGGGCACCATGGTATCCACTCTTCATCTAACGATGAGGTTCCCAGGCAATGACGATCTGAGTCGACCAGCACATAACAAGACAATGTTATGTTAAGAGCCCCAAAGTTACCCCCGACAAAGAAGAGTCACCTCCACCACCATCAAATGGATGAAAACACCAAACACCTTATCACTGATCATAGTCCCAATTCCAACCCCCAATTTGAACACGAAGATAATCATTTGACACCAATCAATGAGCTAAAAAGCCTACAAATCAGCCTTAAGCCTTCTCGGGTTACTAACACCGACAAACTCCTACCCACTGAGATTAGATATCACTCAAATCCTCCTTGACAATGTTGACCCGTTCGCTTAGAGCAACGTTGATATGTCAGGTATTGACCACAATTTTTTGTGTCACAAACTCTCCATATATTAAAAAGTAAAGTTAACCACTTAAAGGAGGCAGAAGCTAGGTGATGAAAGGCACCTCACCGCCAAACAATAAGCAAGGAAATTGGAAGTTATTCGTTTCATTGGAGAAATCACACATACAACATGGCTTGCCAATGTGGTTATGGTAAAAAAATCAAGCAGGAAATGGAAAATGTGCATCAACCACACAAACCTTAATAAAGCTTACCTAAAGGATGCCTACTTGCTCCCCAACGTTGATCACCTTGTCAATGGGGTCTCAGGCCATCAGTTGTTGAGCTTTCTAGATGCTTATTTTAGGTATAATCAGATCATAATGTACCTACCTGATGAAGAAAAGATAACCTTCATTACAAGCAATGCAAACTACTATTACAAGATAATGTCTTTCAGCCTTAAAAAATGTAGGAATGACGTACCAAACTTATGGACTAGGTCTTCCACAAAAAGGTCGATCATAACATGGGAGTTTATGCGACATGATCATTAAATCTATACAACTCGATCACCGTGACACAAACCTAACAAAAATCACAACATATGCCTCAATCTTGAGAACTGCACCTTTGAGGTTCATGGCGAGGAATTTCCAGGTTTCATGCTTACCTAAAGGAGGATCAAACCAATTATGACAAATGTGAAACCTTCATCAACACGGGGAGCCCACGAATAGTAAAAGAAGTATAAAAATTGACCAGGCAATTAGCCTACCTAGCTCGCTTCCTCCCCAACACGAGCAAAAAGCTAAACAATTATTCAACCTCCTAAAGAAGCCAACCACAATTTCAATTTACTATTAAAAAAATAAACATAATGTTAATTAATATAAAAAAATGTATTGTATTTTTTATTTAATTTATTTTTATATTGTTGTTTATTATAAAATATTACATAAAATAATTTTAAGAACTAAAAATGTTGCATCCCTAAATTAGAAGGACTAAAATAAGAATACTTTTTTTAAAATAAATTGGTCCACTTAGTCATAGGTAGTTGCATTGAAACCAATCAACATAACTGACTGCAAGTTTGAGTAGAATTGAGTTTGAATTTTGTAGAAAATAATTGGTAAAATATTTTTTTCATATAAAAATTACAGCTTTTAAGAATTGTTTTTTTGGAGATGATTAAATATTGTTTGATTAATTATGAATATTTTTAAAAATATTTATATATATTACTTGATAATCTAATATTTTTGTCATATTAAATAAATAAATAAAAATAACGTAAAAATGTCATGGTAATTTGACCTTTTTAGGTGAAAGAAAAATGTCGAGAGAGAAATCTCACAAGAATAACTACTAATTTTTTTAACAAAAATTAATCATCAAAATAATCGATAAATATTTTTCACATTAATAACATGTGTATTTTTATCTTTATATTCTTACTTTAAATGCGTAACTTCGCTATCTAGTCCGGTAAAAAGTATAAAAAATATAAATAATAAAAATAAATTAGTAATATATAAATATTTTTTTTTAATATTTTGATATGACTCAACATGGTAATTTTTTCTATGACTATTATATTAATAAAATTATATTTATAATGATTATTTTATAAAAATATTTTTATTTACTTAATAATATAAAAATATTTATGCTTCGAACCATAAAAAGACCAACTCATTACTTATACTATTACTGTTAAAAATAAAAAAGAGATATTTTATATTTTTATATTTATTTAAAAACATTTTTTAAGAAAGAAAAAAAAGTACATACAGTTAAAGATAATAGTAGTAGCGTAGTTGGTTGTTTAAATTGTGTTGTTTTTATTAAGTGAAATATATTTTATATATTAATAAAGATAATATGTTTTTTTATTCATTTTGTTAATCAATTTGTCCTTAATTTTCAAAAATCTCTCTCTTTCATATTTCTTTTACTTAGTTTTATTTTCTGTAAAATTATTTTTCACACCATTTAAATAAGCATCTAAAAACGGCTTATATATTCTAATCTTTAATTACTCACACATATTTAACAATAATTGTTTTTATTATTTATTTTATTTTGCTACGTAAAATACACAAAAATACAAAATGTCATTCTCACTCAAGTAATAAGAAAGAGAGCTCATATACAAGATAAACATGTTTGAAAGAAAATAAAAATGAAAGTTATAAATTTATATTATAATAAAGACGGTATATTTTTTTTGTGTATACATTTTATTTATCATCCTGCTTATAATTTCCAAAAACCTCTCTGTCATAAATTTTTTTATTTTTTTATTTTGTATAAAATTATTTTTCAAACAACTCACACCATTTAAATAAATATTTAAAAATGATTCATATGTCCTAATTATTAACTACTCATACATATTTAATATTAATTATTTTGATTGTTTACTTTATTTTTATTTTTTACATAAAAGTATCGAAGACATGTGTCACCTTTATTTACATAACTATAGTATATACTATATATTTAAGTATACGAAGGAGAAATAATTTATATTATAAAAGTTATAGTCTGATTTGAAATAGATGTCTTTTTGAAGGATTTTATTTTTAAGTTTTAAAAAATAAAAGTATTAAAATTTAACTATTTTTATAAATACAAATTTTAAATTCTAAATCTTAAAATTTAAAAATTAATTATAATATTAATTGATCTAATAAATATTAATAATTTTAAAATATTTTTATTAAATAAAATATA